AGGTTACAAACCGAACAGAGTTCTTCTTGATTAATTCTATAAGCTATGCCATTCCAGAATATATTGCAGTTATAACTCGAACAAAGTCGTATTTGTGTAATAACTCTGATCGTAAAAAGCACAGTCAGAATAAAGGTACTTCAACGAATGCTTATTTAAATCAAATTGACTATAAAACAAAGTATACGTAGTATCTTAATAATAAATGAATGATAAATTAGAATTTTCAAACTCCCATAAATCTTCCGGCGTGAACAGTTATTGAAAATTATTCTTCATGTCATTAAAGTTATTTATTTATAAAAACCTAACTACAAAACTCTGAAGCTACAAATGATAAACTCCTCGACCAAAAATAAATGAAAGAACTTGAAAAACACATAAGTTTTCCTATATTTTGTATTTACAAAAATTACATTAAAAAAACCCTAGTTTATCTATTTATTTGGGATGCTAAATTTAACAAAGAAATCATAACATTCAAACTTACACTTTACACTTATATAGCTGAATGCGTCACGGAATGTCGTTTTACATTATATCTGGTTTTAAATTTGGCATTGCATATGTTGCATTTAAAATTCCTCTCATACGAGTGTGTTAATATGTGATTCTTCAAATGGTCTTTCCGTTTAAATTTTGATTCGCATATGTCACATTCAAAAGGATAAATATCAGAATGTGTTTGTTTATGTCTGTTCAAATAATATTTTTCTTTAAATTTTGCTTTGCAAATGTCACATTCAAGCGGATAGATATCAAAGTGTGTCATAAAATGTTTCTGTAAATTTCCCTTGGTTTTAAATTTGGCATCGCATATGTTGCATTTAAAATTCTTCTCATCCGAGTGTGTTGATAAGTGACTTTTCAAATTAGCTTTTCGTTTAAATTTCGCATTGCAAGTATCACACTCAAATGGATAAATATCTAAGTGTGTTGAAATGTGCTTTTTCAAATTACCTTTTTCTTTAAATTTTGCATTGCATATGTTGCATTTAAAATTCTTCTCATCCGAGTTTAATAATATGTGTGCCTTCAAATCGCCTTTTCTTTTAAATTTTTTCTCACAAGTGTCACATTTCAAAGGAGAAAAACCCGACTGTGTTGATATGTGACGCTGTAACTCGTTTTTTTGTGTAATTTCCGCTTTGCAAATGTTACATTCAAGAGGACAAATATCCGAATGTGTGTTCAAATGATGTTTCAAATTTGATTTGGTTTTAAATGTAGCATTGCAAGTGTAACATTGGAACTTCCTAATAACATCTTGTCTTGATAAGTTGTTGTCACTCGAATATTCTTCTTCGTCCATAAATATTCCTTTATCTGTATCTATTAATTCAATATCTGATACTTCTATTTCGTTTTTAATGCCATCCTCTAGATAATCGATCATTATAAACCTAAAAAAAAAACGATTTTCAGATTCATCGTTAGATTCTTGAAATATACTAGGTAGGTGGAATCAAAATTCGAGTAATCAATACATTTGGAAAGTTGTGGGAGAATTAGTTTTATTACTCATACAAAAATCTTTTGTTGCTACACCTTTTTTCCATTTTAATTAGGTTCCCTATCACAAAAAAACAATTGAGATTAAATATTTAAACAAATCATTGCAGAATAGCATATTTGGGCGCTAGATCAAACGCATAAAATTAATTGGAATGTTGCAGACAATCATGCATGGCTTGACGCGCAAATATAGTAATGCGTAAAGCCTGTTTTTTTTTTTAAAGATAAAAGTCAAAATGACATTATGTTGGCAATACAATGTAAAAATGTCAATGCTTCCAAATTTTTTATGTAGAAAAGGCTTGTGTTGCCAACATAAACTGCTGGACAAATGAAACGGAACAAGCGAATTTTTAATTCAACTTTGGATTCCAATAATACGCGAACTGAAAAAGTTATCAATGAATGATTTGCGTAATTTAGAAATTAGTTTTCGCGAACCGCTCATTGATATTATTTTCAGTTCACGTAATATTGGAATTTAAAGTTAACCTAAAAATTCGCTTGTTCCGTTTTATTTGTCCAGCAGTTTGGTTACTAGATTTTTGACTTGGGGAATTATCTTTAATAAAAAACAGACTTTAAAATGTAGGTACCGTGCGTTCAATTTATCTTGATTTATCACGACAAAACAGGTTCTGAAAATATCATTTTAATTCGCTGTAACTTTTTTGTTTTTGAAGGTATCAAGGTAAACAAAAAAAAAATGTAGGGTTAGTAGCCAAGTTTTTCCAAGTTACCTATAAAATAAAACACTATCAATTTTCTGACATATGAGCCTACATTATATTTTTTCAAATGGAACACCCTGTATATTATATATGTGTTTGATAGAATGTCTTATTCCGATTACAATGATATAACACAATTATTCATATTTTCATTTTTGACAAATTTGCAAAAATATATGAAACGTTTGAAGTGAAACTCATTAGACAGCGATCTGATATTTGGGGTGAGAATTATTGAAAGTGTATATAAAAACTTCATATTTTTACCGATTTGTCAAAAACGACTGGACTAAAATATAAAGTGTGTTATATCATTGTAATCGAAATAAGATATTCTATCAAATGCATATATAATATACAGGGTGTTCCATTTGAAAAAATATAATGTAGGCTCATATGTCAGAAAATTGATAGAGTTTTGTTTTTTAGGTAACTTGGAAAAAAACTTAGCTACTAACCCTACGTTTTGTGTTTTTGTTTACCTTGATATCTTCAAAAACACGAAAATTACTGCAGATTAAAATGTTATCAAGATAAATTGAACGCACGGTACAGGGTATTCGATTATATTTAAGCCAATACCCAGAGCCTTCACTATTTAAGATAGAAAAAAAATTTAGATACAAAACTTGACAATTTTTTTTCTATATTTTCTTCTAGCATTATCAGAAAAACAAAACTGCATCGGAAAATGGAGAAACGTAGACAACTTCGACTTTTTTTAATAGAACGCCCTGTATATTATGCGATTCTTCCTGATTCCAAATAAATATATTGTAGCATTTTATTTTGCCGATAAGTAGCAAATGCTACAAGGTTTATTATTTTCACTATGTTTGTTTTGGTTTTGTAGGTCGTTTTTCAACATTACCTGTTGCACACCTGTAAATAGGAATTTTCATCCTTTTTTAGAATCCCTCTAAGGCTTGTTGGATTATGGAGATGTCAAGGATGTATCAGTTTTGTTAAATTTGGCTTGCTAAAGTGTCCTAAAGAGGTGAGACTTTCGGTGTTTTTTTTGTGGTTGGAAAAAATATTGAAGAGTATATTTCTTTTAGAGTCCTAAATTTGAGCCTAAGTTTGAGCTTAAATTTGAGCCTCAGTTTAAATCTAATCCTTGGATGATGTGGATTTTCACAAACTGTTTTGAAGATACTTACCTGGTGTTGGAATTGAAAGTTTAAGTTTGGGGTACAATCGTTGAGGCCTTCAACGATAGGGTTGTGGTTGTGATGTCACTGGAGTTTTGGGGATGAATTCCTAGGGTGGAATTTCACAAGTTGTGATGTTATGGAGTCTCCAGCTGGATTAAGGCTAGTGCACCATTTTTTATTATTTTAAATTCTTTTTATTATTTTTCAAACTTATTTAATCTTATACTAAGATTTAAATTGATCAGCAAAATATTATTATCACTATAAAAGTGGCCCTTGGATCTTAAAATAATCCCATAACAATTAATGCGGATTACCGTGAAAGGTTCTAGAATCAAATCACTTAGGTAGCCCCTGAATTAGGTTATTATTCATGTTTCCTTCTTTGGAATAAAGATCTCCAAGCGAAGCTTACATAATTCTTTAATAAATCCTAAAATGGGATACTGTAACTCCTAGTTATTTTTCCTCATTTTTTTATTAAACCCTTTACATCATATTAATAATTATTGATTAGTCTTAATCAGATAATTGTCTTTTTATCGTTGGAGATTTCCATTAAATGTTATTTGTATTAAATATCTTTTGAGTTTTATTGTTGGAATTTAAGTTTTGGACAGTATAATTTCGTTTCAGCTAACAAAGAAGTCAAGTAATAATTAGGTTTGATCTAAAGGTTTCTCTATTCGCCTAAAAAAATAGAGTGGCGTCCAAAAGGGTAAGTGAAGGAAAATCGGGCCAAACTATAACATTGGCTACCCACTGCCTCCGACAATTTGAGCTGCCGTTCGCATTGTTACTCTTTCTTTTTTCTTTTATTAATCAAGTAAATAAATATAGTAACAAATATATAGTAAGAAAGAGGTTACAAAATGGCGCCGTACAACGTGGGGCCCGAATTTCCTTTACTAGTTTTTACTGTCCAGAGTTTTATTCTAGCAATGGCTTCATTTTTTTGAAGACTTAAAATTCTCAATTCCATCACGGTTTGTAATAGGTAAAAGTTAATAGCCTAACCACTAATTTATTTTTTATGCTTAAATTTTCTGACCTACACGTTACAAGGACTCTCTTTAGTATAAAGGGCATACACTTTTGGGAAGATTTTATGTTTTTTTTGAAATTTATAGTGGCAATACGCTCGGCAATACGTGCCTAATTAGGTGTTGATTTTATTTAAAAGTTTAGGTGTATTTTGGGACTGATAATTATTTGCAGTTACTGTTTTGAAAATTTTTTTCATCTTGACCTGGCTTGAAAGGAATGATGTGAATGTGATTTTTCAAGAGCGGTTTTTGTCGGTTTACACATTTCTTTGTTTGGTGGAGTGATATTGAGTTTAAAATAAGTAATTACCTAGTACCGGTTTTTTTTTAAAAAAAAAGCCTTTATAGAAATACTTTGTCAGAGCGCCTGGGGTTTTCCTTGAAGGTACATATTCAAATAAATAAATTTACAGGTCTGACTCAGGATGGTTTTGATTTGGTCTTTGTGTTGAGATTATTCGGGTAATTGTCTGGTCTCATCATAGAGTAATAATAGCTACATAATTGTCATTTATAGTTTATTTTATTTTTTGTTGGGTGTATAATATATCTAGAGAATTTATTTATCGCCATCATGGACATCTACAATTTTAAAATCAATCATTTATTGGAAGCTGAATTAGATTACGAATTGAAAATTCGGTCAATTCATTCTGTAAAACCTGTGAGTGACAAGAGGAAAATGTTTACTAGATTGGCGGCTAGAGAAAGAGTGTTACCTGGCAGTGAGATCGATATGGCTGAATATGTTCTGACTCATTCGATTACTCCTTTAAAGGAAAAGGAAGGTATAGCTGATACTATGGACTCAATTGAAACTTTAATTGATGCATTCGATGGTGACGCTACAGATTCAGTCTTTCGTCGAGTTATGTCTCGTTTAAATCATGTGAGAGGTCGAATTCAGCGAATTTCTCAGGTTGATCCACAAGATAATTCTTTGAAAAAATATATCCAAGAAACTTACGGCGAATGTTTGAAATTGGAAGGTGATTTACATGAAAAGCTGGCTGTTCCTGTTCAACCAGTACCTGATCCGGTAGCTGCTCAACCTGTGATAAATGTGGCTGCCCCTGTTGTGCAATGTGCCTCCCGGAATATACCATTTAGTGAATGGCAAGTCAGTTTCAATGGAGATTCGAAAGGTTTATATCAATTCCTGGAAAGGTTGACTGAATTGGCTAAGGCTAGGGGTGTCACTGATATACAGTTATTTGAGTCAGCAGCAGAATTTCTTACTGGAGATGCGTTTGTGTGGTTTAGAAGTGTTCGGAGTTCTTTAACCGATTGGGATTCGTTAGTTCTGAGACTCAAAAAAGATTTTCTTCATGAGGATGTAGAGGACGATTTATGGGATCAAATTAAAAAACGTAAACAGAAACGTAACGAAAAGGTTGTGGTTTTCATAGCTCATTTAGAGGCACTTTTTTCTAGATTATCTCGCCCTCCAGTAGAACCCACAAAAATTAAACATATAAGAAAAAATCTTTTGCCTGAATTCTATGATCGCTTGGCTTTATTAGACGTAACTTCCGTCCCACAATTGTCCGAACTTTGTCGAAAGTTAGAGGAATCTGATTATTTGAAGGAAAAATCCAAGCACCGTGAAGTAGCGGGTATTGACGCGTCCGGGTTTTCTGAAAGAACTCAAAGGTCATTTATCCCCTCTGATAAAGGTCAGAAATCTTCTTTGCCAAATGGTAAAACTTATTCCGGACCGAATCAAAATTCACGCAGGTCGAAGCCTTTTGAACCAAATAGGGTTTGGACTAATAAGAATGATAACAGAAATTAGGGTGATTACGGGGTTGGAAACTCAATTAATTGTTGGAACTGTAAATTGGCAAATCATACTCATTTGGATTGTAGGGCTCCCAAATCGGTGTTCTGCTTTAAGTGTGGTACACCCAATGTCAAATCGACAAATTGTCCTAAATGTACAAAAAACTAAACAGGGAAGTGGATCGAAGAGGCCGATTCCACATTCCCAGTCTTGTATCTAAGTCAGTCTCTAAAATTGATCATTCCAGATGGAGAGGGTATTTTGACAGAAATGATTGGGTCCGGTGGTTGGCCAAGGTCTCTGAATTTTGTAGATCATATTCTTTCAATATAAATAATAAAATTCCCTCGAAAAATAAATCTATTGGTAACATGAAAAGTAGGAATGGTGGTAGTTGTTATATTTCGGAACCCATGAAGGATTCCAATAAGGATTTTAATGAAGACTTTCAGGATGCTCGCAGTTCGGTGGTAGTTTCTGATCGCGAAGTGAATGGTAGTAGGAAAGACAACAGTCAACTCTCGCCTTTGTTTGTGGAGAAGCCGTTTGATAACCGACCCTATATCAGGGTGCGATTATTTGACACTCAGGTAAATAATAGTTTTGTTCGACTCAGGAGCGACGACTTCAGTTGTAGGCAGTACCGGTCTGAATATTTTAGAGAGACTAAATTTAAAAACCTATCCGGCAGTTACCAAAGAAGTACGCACTGCTGATGGCAAGTGTCAGCCTGTCAAGGGAATGGTTGATTTGCTCGTGGTTATTGACGATTCTTGTCAAGTGGTCAATGCTTTGCCTCAAGCATTTATATTTGGTTGTGACTTTGCTCAAAAGTTTGGGATTTTGGTGAATTTTGAAGATAACTCTTGGTTTACGTAGAATGAGGTTTCACATTCGTTTGTAGAGGGTGTTGAAGGTATTCCGGATGTTTCTGTCCTGACAGAATCGCCTTCTTTAGATTCTCTTCGAGATCTCAGTTTGGAAAAAAGAATTTTGGCGGAAAGAGTGATTTCTTCCTTTGCGGAAATCAACAATGAAGACAAGCTAGGACGAACAGATAAAATTGTCATGAGTATTGACACTGGTCATTCCCCTCCTTTCAAACGAAGACCTTTTCCTATGTCGCCATACATGGCTAAAATTCTGAATGAGGAGCTGGATAAGATGTTGGCTTTGGGTGTGGTAGAGCCCTCCAATAGTCCATATTGTTCACCAGTCCTTCTAGTTAAAAAGTCTAACGGAGAATACCGGTTCGTGTTCGATGGCCGTCCTCTGAATGAAATTACTAAGCCTGATTGTTACCCTATGCCCAATATAGAGCGTATTCTCAGTTCTCTGAGAAATGCTAAGTTTATTTCCTCGGTCGATCTCCGCAAAGCCTTCTGGCAGATACCCCTTGATGAGTCATCCAAGGAAAAGACTGCTTTTGCTGTAATAGGTAGAGGATTGTTTCAGTTCGTCACCATGCCGTTTGGGCTCAGAAATGCTGCTCAGACTCAGCAGCGTTTAGTTGAATCTATTTTTGGTCCCTCATACGAGCCGCGAGTGTTTACCTACTTGGATGATATTTTGATTATTAGCCCGGATTTCGACTCGCACGTCCAACTATTACAGGATGTAACGGGAAAATTGAAAGAAGCTGGTTTGACGATAAATTTGGAAAAGTGCGATTTCTTCAAGACGTCACTTAAGTTTTTGGGTTACATTGTAGGTTCCAATTCCTTGAGAACTGATCCTGAAAAAGTGTCAGCGATGATTAACTATCCTAGACCGAAAACTACCACTGAGATTAAGCGTTTCGTTGGACTTTGCTCATGGTACAGACGTTTTATTAAGGATTTTTCCACTCTTCTTTCGCCTATAAATGATTTGCTTAAAGGCAAGAAAAAGGGTCAGTCTATTTGTTGGACGCATGATGCTGAAAATTCATTTGTCGAAATTAAGCAACGTTTAGTATCCGCTCCTATTTTGTCTCAGCCTGATTTTTCGCAGAAATTCTATGTGCAAAGTGATGCTTCTGATACTGGATTAGGAGGCGTTTTGACTCAGATTATTGACGGCGAAGAAAGAGTGATCGCATATGCAAGTAGATCTTTGTCTAGGACAGAACGCAATTATTCAGTAGTTGAGAGAGAGAGAATGTCTGGGAGTCATATTCAATATTGAAAGGTTCCGTCCGTTTATTGAAGGAGTTGCTTTTACGGTAATTACCGATCATTATTCACTATTGTGGCTCAACTCTTTGAAGAGTCCTAGTGGTAAGCTTGCACGATGGGCAGTACGTCTTCGGCAGCATACTTTCGACCTAGTTCACAGGAAAGGCTCGAATAATATAGCCAGACGCACTATCGCGTATCCCGATGGATGGCCCTCCTGAAGATTCAGATAGCGTTAATGAAGAGGTTGTTCTATGTGAGCTTGATATCGATCGAATTGATCCCTGGTATGACCGTTTGCGTCAGAGGATAATTAATTCTCCGACTGACTATCCTCAGTGGAAGGTGGTAGACGATTTCGTTTATAAATTCATTCCAAGTGAACTTCCTATGTCAGATCAACTTTCAGAGTGGAAATTTTTGGTTCCCAAACCTCAACGTCACGAGATTATTAATTCTTGCCATACCCCTCCAACTTGCGCTCACTTTGGTTTTTATAAGACCTTGGGTCGCTTAAAACAACGATATTATTGGCCAAAAATGCAAAAGGACGTTTTGAAATTTATCAGATCATGTGAAGTTTGTGGTGCAAATAAATCTTCAAATTCAGCACGAATGGGGCTTATGGGAAAGGAAAAAGTTGTAAACTATCCTTTTGAAGTAATTGCCATTGATCTTATCGGACCACTCCCTCGTTCGAAGAAAGGAAATAAATGGTTGCTTGTGGTGGCGGATTGGTTTACCAAGTTCACCCTGATTTTTCCTTTGCGTAGTTCAAAATCCAACTTCATAGAAGATATTCTGGAGAATAAAGTTTTGCTTGTTTATGGTTGCCCTAGAATGTTGATTTGCGATAACGGCTCTCAGTTTACTGCAAAATCCTTTGCAAAATTGAATAAGACTTATGAAGTATTCATTCGTTTCACTCCTCTTTATTCCCCGCAATGTAATTTTGTGGAAAGAAATAACGGTACTATAGGGACAGCTATACGTTGTTACATTGAGGATTCCCACGAGGATTGGGACAAAAATATTGCTAAGATTCAACAGGCGATTAATACTGCCCGGCATGAAGTGCATCATTTTGCTCCAGCTTTTCTCGTATTTGGAAGAAATCCACCACTGTGTGGATCATTTTATAGAGATGCTGGTAATAATTTCGAAATGGATTCTGAAATTACTCCCGGTGATCGTGATACGTATGCTGCTAACCTTCAAGGATTGAGGGAAATCTTTGTTAAAGTAAGAAAACAATTGCATCGTGCGTACGAACGTAATTCAAAAGGATACAATCTCCGAAAACGAGATATTTCATTTGTTCAAGGAGATCATGTGTGGCGTAGGAATAAAGTCCTATCCAGTGCCGCTGATAAGATAGCTGCAAAGCTATGTCCGAAATTCGTTCATTCAGTCGTTCGTAGGAAACTGTCTAATGTAGTTTTTGACCTGGAAAATTTGGATGGCAGTAGAGCTGGGAATTGGCATATCAAGGATCTTAAGCCATTAAATTTGCCTAGTTCTTATGATTCAGATGTCTCTGAGCCAGAGTCTCTGACGGACTAGCTATTTTCTGGAACTACAACCATTTATGAGTTTTCTGATTTGTTGAGTCTATGATCATTCTGAGATCCAAATCATTTAACAATTCAAACTTTAAGTGGCCAGATTTGAGTAGGCACCCTACTAAGATTTGTGTGTTTAGTTTTGATTCTTGTTATCATGACAAGGATGATAATTAACGTTATGCGAGTTTGGTTTTTGTAAGGTTTCATACATTATTGTGGATTTATTTGAGAGCAGTTAATCTCACGCCCTGACTATTTTGGAGACATTTACTTATTTTGACTTTTTGTTTGATGATTTTTGACCAATTTACCAATTGTGACTTTTACTGATTTTGTCCCTTTTTAAGGCGGGTGATACACGCAGTTATATTGATCACATTTGCGTAAGCCATTTTTGATATATCTTAGCTTAAATCTACATAATAAAAATCAATGTTTGCTGGGTGTCCGGCTATGCGCTCCTACACCACTTATCCGATTACGATGAAACTTTGGTAGATTGTTATGGCCATCCTAAGGAAAGTTTGTGGATAGGTTACGCATCTCGGAAAAAGAAATTAATTTTGAATTAATTGTTAATTTAATTGTAAACAAACTCATTAACATTACATAACGACATAACCCAACTTTTAATGACAGCATGAAACAATGTTGCCATATTTCATTTATTTAGGCCTGCCATTCAACCGACGTAACTTTATTATTTTTTGAATTCGAGAACGGCTGGACCGATCTTGAATTTAATACCACGTATCTCTATATAAGCTGAATTCGATTGACCTAGATTAGATCGATTTGGGTCCAATTTAAGTGAACTTCTTCTGGTCTAGATCATTTTTTTGTTGATGAGGGTGCACTGATCCAGCCTCAATCGAACACAGCGTGGTACACTTAAATTGAATCAGATCAATCTAATCCGGTCAATCGAATTCGGCTAAAGAGGGGAGTGCTATAAGCTATTTTTTATTTCGAAAAAAAAAGTTCGGTTGCGCGAAACTTTGATACACTGGAACGCCTATAAACAGCTCGGGGCGCTCTAGAACAACTCTGGAGTGCTTAAAATGCGTCACTGAGCTCACTGACAAGCGACTCTGGTATCGGATAAAAGAAAAAAAAAATTAAACAGAAAATCAACGTGGCATCAGATATTTAGCTTGTTTCGTTTTAAATAGTAGGTACACCCTCTATATTAGTATCTGTAATATCGTGCAGCTTCTGCCTATGCAACATAGAGTATAATAATTAGTTAATAAGGTCAGGTAATCGAAGCTATGACATGACAGTTAACAGATAGGTACCTATTAAAGTCAGTTGGAAGTGAGTTGGAAGTTTTTGAAATTTCAAGCACATTTTCATCTTCTGATACATGAAAGTTAGAGAATTTGTACTGTTCTTAGCAGACGTGGGTCTTTATTCCATTATTAAAGTTTTGGTGCTATCTCCGTATTTCATTTACGATACCACAATTATTTGGCGACGAGTGAATCGAGGGTTGATAGTTTGTTTTGTCGACCAAAATTCCCACCTAAAATTTTAAAAAATCTTTTTCGGAAAAACTGTGCTGAAAGCTAGAAAAACCAGAACATCATTATGGATTTAACCGGCGAGGGCTCACAAATTCATTAGCAAATTGATTATAAATGCCGGTAATGTGTCCGCTAGTTTGTCAATTTTCAAGCAAGATGATGATTATGAGATTTTTGAGGAAATACTTGGACAATATATTGCAGCTAACATAATAGAAGCAGCAAGGCAAGTTTCTGTGTATTATTGACATTTTTAAGTGAAGATATTTATAAGTTTATTAGGGATTTATGTAGCCCAGATTAGTAAATCTTATGATTTGATGACCATGTGGCCTAAAAATTTTGAGCCAAGACCGTAAAAGTGCCTATTATTTTTGATGACTTAAGACAAAATACAGAGTCTGTGAATGATTGGTATGTTAGAGTTGAAAATACAGCAACACACATTCTGGTCAGAATTTAATGTATAGGATTCAAGAGAAATTTTTATGTGGAATGAAGCAAGTATAGACTTGACAGATTATGTGAAGAAAAGGCGGCAAAACCTATCAAAGATATTTTGGAAATAGCATTGGATAAAGAAGCAGCTATGAGAGAGCAGGCTCGTAACAGCATGGGAGTGAATCGCGTGCAGAAGTTTAAATATAAAAACAACAGTGGTAATCGTGAGTTAAAAGAGCCTGTAAAAATGATAGAAAAGTGGAAAGTGCAGGAAAAAATGGAAATCAGAATGAGTTAAGATGCAACTTTTATAATAAAACAAATCATAATTTTAATAAAAAATATTTACTTGTAAAAAATGTGGTAAAAAAGGATATATTATGGCAGCTTGTAAAGGTGAACAAGTAGAAAAAAATTACTTAGTTGAGAAGAGATAAGATGAAGATCCTCCACCATTATATAATTTGAATGATTCAGAAGAATTTGAAAATGTTAATTTTGTTAAGCCGTTTTACCAGTTTTACTTGAAAGTGTCAACTCAAATGGAATTTGAAACGGGAGCTGGACTTAGCAGTTTACCATATAAATTTTACAACGAAAAGTTGAGTCATATTCCATTGAAGGAGACTAATATACGCTTGAGAACTTATTCAGGTAAAATTGTTATCCCTGAAGGGAAAATTTTACTCACTGTTACTATTCAAGGTATATCAAAGTTGTAGTTTGACAGTTGTTAAAGAAGCATCAAATATTCTATTAGGTAGAGATATTTTTGCACAATTAAATTTGTTATTGAAAGACTGGAGTTGTTATTAATAAATTAGTTATTCAGAATTCATCAGATAAACTTTCAAAATTATTGTCAAACGAGTTAGGGACATAGAAAAAGTTAAATTAAAAGTAGAGGAAAATGTGAGACCATTTTTTCACAAGCCCCACCCTACTCCTTTTGCATTTCGAGAAAAAGGTGAATCTGAATTGAAACGTTTAGAATCTAATCAGAAAATCGAAAAAATTAACACTTCCAGCTGGGGTACGCCATTAGTACCTGTAATGAAAGCCAATGGCTAAGATATACGAGTCTGTGCAAATTATAAAATCACTGTGAATACATTTTAAAAAGATTTCAACCATCCGCTTTCACTGATTGATGACATATTTGTAGCTCTTCAAGGGGGTCAAAAATTTACAAAATTAGATTTTCTCAATGTCTATAATCAGTTAGTTTTAGACGAGGAAACGAGTAAGGTAAATAAGGTAAAAAAAATTACCATCTGGTACGAAGCCCGCATGTGCTATTTTTCAAAATATTGTGGAAAAAGTTGATCAAGATCAAATGGCAAATTATTTTTATAAAAAAATCCATTCAATTCCAGGGCCAATTAAGGGGAAATGTCTGTATTATTTGTCGATACCTACTTAAAATGGCCGGAAGTTTTTATAATGAATAATACCGATTCAGAGTCAACAATTTCCCGATTTAGATAATGTTTTTCAAGATTCGGAATACTGAAAATACTAGAAACAGATTATGGAGGTCAATACATATACTTCAGACGATTTTAGTAATTTTTTAAGTCGAATTTGTAATCTCTCCTCCAGTTCATCCAGCTACCAATGGGTTTGCCGAAAATTCGATTAAATCTGTAAAAAATGGTTTAAAAAAAAACACTGTTAAAGCAAAAGAATAGTAAAACCCCGTTAGAAACTTTGGTATAGGTACCCATATTTATTTTCCTACAGAAATTCGGTTGACTCTACAAAAGGTATAACGCTTTCAAGTATAATTTTGAAAGGTAAAATTAGAACGCGATTGGATTTGTTATCACTCAAAGGAGTACAAAGTAGTGAAAAAGCAAACAATCAAATTGGAACGCAAAGAGGAAAACGCCAAGGGACCTTTGTAGAGGAAGATAGAATTTAGTGCAGAAACTATCGAAACCGAAATAGAAAGTGTTGGGTAGAATGTATTTTTGATGAAGTTTTAAACGAAAAAGTTTATTTTTGTAAGCTTTTATATGAAAAGTTAGTCTGGACACGAAATCTGAACCAGCCAGATTAAGCGTAATTGTTCAGATCCTGATGAATGTAATTTGCATTGTAAATAAAATTTGGAAAATCAATAATCTTTGGCAAACTGAAATTCTAAACATGCTGAATTTAACAAAGCAAGTATTACATTCAAATTTACACTTATCTAGCTGAATGGGTCACTGAATGTTGCTTTAAACTTTTTCTGGTTTTAAATTTGGCATCGCATATGTTGCATTTCAAATTCATCCCGTCCGAGTGTGTTAACATGTGGCTTTTCAAATTACTTTTTTGTTTAAATTTTGCAATGCAAGTATCACATTCAAATGGATAAATATCCATGTGCTTATGTAAACTACCTTTCTGTTTAAATTTTTATTTGCATTCAAAAGGATAAATATCAGAATGTGTTAGTTTGTGAATCTTCAAATCACCTTTCCGTTTAAATTTTGATTTGCCAGTATCACATGCAAAAGGAATGGGTGAAATTATTAAAATAATGGTTGGAAGTCATCAATGTCGTCAAAATTATTGCCAATTGCAGTTTATAAGAAATTGAAATTTGTTTTAAACTCAGAGTGCATTTTCTCTTTCTTTTAACCCTAGCTAAAAAGAGATAGAATGCTGTCGGATTATATAACCGAATCTGCTGATAAAATGGGATTTAGGTTGGCACTCGTGGGTAATGTTGTCTTGTCAATAGTTGCCTTCTGCAAATCTTTGGTTATTGATTTTAATATTTTGAGGTTGGTTGTCAGTTTTTAACGAGTCGGGGATTGATAATTGGGATATAATTCAATTTGCTATTAAATTGTATTAATGAAATTTCGTTTTTTGGTATAATTATTCCTATAAATTTATTAATAAACATGTTACCTGGGAAAATGAGAAACTTTATGGTATGTCGAAGTAAAACGATGTTGATGCGACAATACTGCAACATCATAAATTTTGATTCCAGGGTGAGTGCGAAATAAGTGCGCATTTTGTTATGATAGATAGATTACAGTAGCACAATCACTTTTTGCAAAGGTACATGTGACCGCAAACGTCTCTTTAAAAAAATACAGTGGTGAAATTTTCGGAAAATTTTGACTTTTTGTCTTTAGATTCAAAATGATTTGAGCGATTTTGTTCAAATTTTCAGTGTTTGTAATGTTCTCAAGCATCTTTCTAAAAAATCCGTTTGAGTTCCACGTTTTCAGGACCGGACATAGAGTGACTCTTATTTTTTGAAAAGAAAAAAGTGGTACTCCCTTGGAGTTTTTGATTTTTTTGATTCCTTGTTTAATTTTAAACAAAAAAGGTATCTTGAGTTTTTCTTGTTCGATGCGTGTTTACGAGATAAAAAATAAAAAGCAATGTATTGTTTGGAAAATCTCGTTATTTGATATACTCCACTCCACATGACACCGGAAACTCAGCAACAATGAAGTTAAAAAAGTTTATATCATATTATATCGTAAACACTCTCCGAAAATTTGAACAAAATCGCTCAAGGCATTATGAATCTAAAGGCAAGAAGTCAGAATTTTCCGAACATTTCAATAACCTGTATTTTCTTAACGGTACGTTTGCGGACATCTGTTTCTATACCAAAAGTGATTGTCCTACTATACTCTATCTATCATAACAAAATGCGCTCTTATTTCGGACTCACCCTGTATATTCTTTTATATATTTCCCTATATCAGAATGTGTTAGTTTGTGAATCTTCAAATCGCCTTTCCGTTTAAATTTTGATTTGCATGTGTCACATTCGAAAGGATAAATATCAGAATGTCTTAGTTTGTGTTTCTTCAAATGGTCCTTTCCTTTAAATTTTGCTTTGCAAATGTCACATTCAAAAGGATAAATATCAGAATGCCTTTGTTTGTGTCTCCTCAAATAGTTTTTTCTTTTAAATTTTGTTTTGCAAATTTCACATTCAAAAGGATAAATATCCATTGTGTTAATATGTGACGCTGTAAGTCGTTTTTTCGTGTGAATTTTGCTTTGCAAGTGTTACATTCAAAAGGACAAATATCCGAATATGTTTTTGAATGATATTTCAAATTTGACTTTGTTTTAAATTAAGCATCGCAAGTGTAACATTGAAACTTTCTAATATTATCTTGTCTTGATAAATTGATGTCACTCGAATATTCTTGTTCCTTTTTAAATATTCCTTCATTTGAATCTATTAATTCAATATGTGATATTTCCATTATGTTTTAATGCCATTCTCTAGATATTCATTCATCATAATTAGTTTAATTACTCATACAAATATCTTTTCACTCAAATGTAGTCATTATAAGGCCTTCTTTTGAAGCCAAATATATTTATACAAACTTAATTGTTAAAAGAATAAATTCAACTTCTATGAACGCGTGGTTAATAAGCTATAATGAGGCACTGTTTTATAGGCATAAGTAAATAGTAACTTGAATTTTATATTTATTACAGATGTTTAAAGATCGCCATAAGAAAGAGACAAACAAAAAAAACAGCCTTAGCTCAACATCACTTTTCTACGGAACTTTATCTTGATTATTCTAGTGAGAAGAATTTGGACAGAGAATAGGTATTTATGGTACGTTATGTTGAAAACAAGTCACTCAAGTGACTTAGAAAACATAACACACAAGTAGCATACAATATTTTATCCAACAACTGAGAAATCATAACCCACGAGCAGCAAACAAGAGCTGAAAAAACTAACAGATATTTTTAAGGAATGAGTCTTCTTTGAAGCACGATTTATAAATTTTTATTTCCTGACGTTTTCCGTTGAGTTATAAACCATAACATACTAGTGAGCTATTTGATAGTTTATTTGCAATCATATATGTAATCTTGTCATTACTGACTTTTTAAAAATTTGGAAGTGACACTTTACCAGTGTCACTTCCCTCTTCGATTTCCTTCACCGATTTCCCTATTCGACTTCCCTCACCGATTTCCCTCACTCTAATTTATTTACCTTTGCTGGCAACAATGAGAACATGTCAGGTAAAAACGTCAAAGCAGTGAATGACACATTTTGGCATGTTTGTTTTATTTTTTTAATATTAAAAAAATTGATTGACTAATCGTAATTAATGGTGTGCTTGCAAATAAAATAGTATACAAACCTCGGAGGAAAGTTTTCATTTCTGTCTCGAGATTAATAGTCAATCTCGACGCTTCGCGTCTCGATTGACTCTCGACAGTAATGAAACACTTCCCTACTCGGTATGTAATATACTATTACATTGTCAAAATTGGCACAAATAATGACTCTTATAACTAGCAGGTGTTGGATAAAGTAATTATTTCAAGAGGACTACTGAATGTAATCTAAATGATTTACATAACTCGGAATGATTCGGCCAATAATAGAATAGACACACAACGCCCTAGGGCACAGTACAGGTAAGTAATAAATTTATTTAGGGTCAATACTCCACATAGGTAGTGAAATTTTTAGGTAAATGTCAATGTATGAACCAATGGAAAAGAAAAAAAATAAATAAAAAATAACAAATCGTTTTTTTAATAGTTATTTAATGAATTAATGAATGTGTTTGGTTCGGGCTGTATGTGCATCTGCTTAGTTTTTATTCAAATTAATGTTTAAAAAGGGAGGAGAAATTTCATCATTCGTCTGCAGCGGTTGAAAGTTCAATCAATATTAATACTTGAAATTCTCG